GTTTCCATGAAAAACTGGCGCGACAAAATGATAGGACAGGTATGGTAATTCATGGAAAAACATTTTATATACTTGAAAAATTTTACATATTACTTTGCAACTAATAACGTGTCCACCTTCGCTTCGTTTTAATCTCCTCTAGCATACGCTTAGGTAACGATTTATATAAATGTTTTATACATTTTCCTGATATTATTCTCCATTCTTGCCCTATTGCTGCTGCTTTTACCTCACTTATTGAATTAAATTGTCTTCCATGTCTATATACAGGGTGTCCCAGTTGTTTTTAATCAAACTTTGCCAGTATGTTCTATGGGTATAAGTGAGAAAAAAATGTCCTATAAACATAGGTCGTTTGAAGCTTTAGTAAAAAGTTAGAATACGAAATGCAAAGGTAATGCTAACGGATTTTGAGGCTGTGATACAAAATAGGAATAGATTAGCGATATCTAAGTACATCTATTCTGCTTATGCGAGCTTTGTTTACGATCTGAGCTCGTTGAACGTAATCTTTACCAGTGCCGTTCTTGTCTTGTATGATAGTAACTGCAAGTTCGTTGCTGTTTCCTTCGTATTTCGTATTTTTGTTATAATTTTTTAATAAAGCTTCAAACGACCTATGTTCGTATAACATTTTTCTATTACTTATACCCACAGAACATACCGACAAAGTTACCGGCAAAGTTTGCTCGGAAACAACTGGGACACCCTGTATATATCGCGATACACCGAAATTCGTCGATTTATCTCATCGAATTTAACGAACCGCTTTCACGTTAAATCACGATTTTTCTCGGCGCTTTGTGCCCAAAGCCATTGGACACCCACGTTTACGGTGTTTTTCGCGCAGCAAGCGCCCCGTGTCTCTCTTATTCCCGCGTTTATTATTACGCGCGGCGCAACACGCTCGGGACGAGTACTATATTTATACGTGGCGGATCGACGTTTCGATGAGCTTAAAGGAGCATTACGAGAAATTATACGTGACAGGTGTGTAGAGGCGAGAGCTGAAAAGCATTCCTAAGGCGATCTGTCGCGTAATACACGGCAGCTGCGCGTTTTCCTTTTTATACGATTGTCGAAGCCTTGGACGCGTCTGCGTGCCCACACACGGCCCAACGATGGTGTAACACACCCCGCGCCATCTCCTCCACCCGGCGGTGATTTGCATGCGGCCATTTGTTTAGCATTTCTTCCATTTCTCACGCCCGTTTTCACCGCGAACGGTGCCGCGTTATGCGCCACGTAGACGCGAATAGATCCGCCGCGCGGTGGACACACGTTTACGGTTAATCAGACAATGTTTCATTAACGAGGAGGGTTATGAATATTCCGCAATATCCAGGTTGCACCGCGGTGTGCAAAAGTCAACGTGGCGGATGCCCACGCGTAACCTTTCCCGCGGACCTATATACATACGATTTAGCGGCGATTCGACGAAACGGAAAGTCAAAATTCATTGGGAACGTTCCACTTTCTAATTGGCCGTTTAAATGTACTACTGCTTTTCGTTTTACGGCGAGACGCTGATTGTACGAACTTCTGATTCACCGGAGCCTCGATTTCCCTGAACGCTGTACATCAAGTTTTTTTTTTTATAAAAAACAATTGGTGACAGTTAGTAAGAGTAGAGCAATCTCCAAATGTATCATTTTTTGGTGAAATTAATGTAAATATTAAGACACCTACAGACTGGACTTCTCCGTCCACGATGTGATACTAACTTTGACGAAGAAATGCAATTTAAATCATACACTTTCTATGCAACCATAATAGGCGCCCTAATACTTACGAACGACAGTGTAAGGCTAGCTGTTCGTAATGTTCAGCACATTTAAACAAAATTGAATCTTCCAAAAATGGAAAAAAAAATTGAAATATTGGTTAACCACTTAAATACGGTTGCTGACTCTATCTCTAGCAAAACTAGAGGAGCGGTTGTCATTTGGCGTGAATTTTTATGAAATCGACGTACTTTCGTCTAATTTTTCTGTCAGACCCTACGACAGCGAAAGAGTTAAAAATCCCCTTGGAAAAATATTTTTCCCCTAATTGAACGCTTTTCCTTCGCACCGTACCGTCAATTGACTCAGCTGTCGTTCAACTATGAAATAATCCATTACGTGTAATTTTCCAGGGGGCACTATGCAGACCGAGGAAGTCGTGCCTCGTGCACAATCAACTGGTATAGACAGCGGCCCCACAGACAGTACTTCTCTGCAGCATCATCTGCATCACTCGTCACATATAAAGTGCCCGCTGCCACCTCTGCTCCACATGGCGGTCAAGCAGGAGCCACAGGAGGAGGAGGAACGAAGTCGTGACACGAATGCGTTGAGGTGAGCCTACGATTATGCTAATCGACGCTTTCCGTGTCCCTGTCGATTCTATCTTTATGTAATGCTTTCCCTTGTAAATCCCATACCTCTTAGACCTATACATCAGCGTCGATAATGCCTTCGTTCAGACTATTCTTAGATCGGCTATTCTATTCACGACGACTCTATTTTCATACTTATTCTTCGAAATCCGTGTAATTATTTTCTGCTAATTGGAACAGTGTTTTCCACTTACATTCAGTCACACGAATGTCTGCTAAAGCAGAACTGGAAAGATTTCTCGCGGGACGAGGGGTACTTCGCTCACGCCCTTTAAATTTTACCTCGTGCAATTTTGACCCTTGTGTAAGCAACCATAATGCTCACGATTGTGTTAAGCTTTGATATTTAAAATTGTTATTTTGAAAACGTATAACGATGTAAAAGTGTCCAAAAATGGGGATCTGGAGCGATTTTGCGATATTTTCACAAGAACATCGAAAATTGTTAAAGGAAAGTATAGAAATGGGTATCCGGTTATCTACACAAGGGTTAAATGATCCGATTCGTCGATGTTATCGCGCCGGCCAATAACGACAGTGCCCTATTTCTATGATTGTCTCAGGTGAGTTTAATGGGAGTATCCGCATTCCTTCCGCGAGACTTTTTTCCAGCTCTGCACAGTGCCTCTAACAGAACTGGAGCGATTGTCATTTGGGGTGAATTTTTTTCAATCATTACTTCAACCATATGGACCAGTGGCTTGGTATAGTAGAATTCTGATAATCCGGAACAGTCGGGACTTTGGCAATATTGAACTATCAAATATGCCGGATTATTGGGCTGTGTCTGTGTAATACAATAGTACCCTGTATAACGCGATAAAAATGAAAAATAACTTAATTTATATTATATTTCTCGCGTTAGAGGAAGATCCACTGTACTGTAAAACTGAGAATACTAATTTTAAAAACGGCTATAGTTAATACGGTAACGTCTTTTCAATGAAAATGAGTCCAAATACGACATAAATCGGACAGTAATCCCCAGACTGCGGATTTTTATGCTTTTACGGAAATTTTGAAGGCACAAAAATACACAGAATGCACATAATAAGTAAAAATATATAAATAAACCCGACATATAGTATTCGTTATAATATTTCGCGAATCAAACAATTGCCTACCTAGCTTCTATTGTTTCAATTATATTCAGAAAGATATGAATTTGCATAAAAATCGGCAGTCTAGTAATCAGTTTTAAAAGCACCCTTAACTGATTACAGGTGCTGACGAATGACATTCGTAGGATTATCGGAATTCCACTGTATATTTTTATTTCACATCGAGCCCTCTCAATCCCCGAAAAATTCCCTGGTTGCAGATTTTCCCCTGTTAGCTGCATTAGCGAACATCATTTTTGGTCCTTTTTCAACCGTTCAGAGCGTTCACCGCGCTCACCTCAGGAAGATCTGTATTTTCTTCTGACACGTACGATAAATAATCCTATTGATGAAGACTGTATACATCTGCAAGATTATCACGATCTTTTTCATTCGATACATGTCATCTTCGGTGAATGCAGGCAGTTAGAGTTTCGTGTGACCGTGTGTATAGTGTGCTGTTCACGAAAGAAACATTAGTATTCCGACAGTGAGGTAAGACGCTCGTGTCGACAGCCCGATGTGTTATTATCGTATCAGGCATAAATCATATAAGAAAGGCATTAGTTATTATTATTATCGCGTGTTGTGTATCGCAGCGAGATAAACGTGTCTCGTCAGCGAAATGAAATAATACGCTGTTAGGGTATTATTATACGATACGTATGTATACAGTGAGAGGCCGATGGACTCTTCGGTTGGCGTTTACGAGCGACAGATTATTTTTTGAAGAGAAACGTACAGCGCGATCACATCCGCGATGCGTAAAAGTAATTTATGTACTTGGGGATAGTTTCGAAGTTGTGGGCTGCACGATAGGAACGCGGATACACTGACGATCAAAAGTTAGGGTAACTTGCCACCCTGTATATCTAATTGCTGTACATGCATACATATGCAAGTTAAGATGTTTAACTGATTTTTTGTAGAATAGTTTTTATTATTGTACAGGGTAAATTATTTGCTTGTGAAATATTTTTTTTTTATATTGAAAATTACCCAAGTGTATGGAAGCATAAATGGAATTAACCCTTTGGACTCCTTTGTAGAGTGTAACTTGATATCAGTTTTCTTCACAGGTATGAATGAAGTAATTTTTAAACTGCCAGTTCAGATATGTACTGTTTTACCCGGACGAGCGATAGGTATGCATATATACGACCCTTAATGCTATTTTCAATATAATTCGTAAAAAAATCGTTTAAATTGGTTCCTATCAACCAAATGTCGTTTGAAGTGCATTTCAAATAAAATTCTTAAAATAGTAGGGAGTTATTGAAGAGAAAATTTAAAAAAAAATTTGAAGTTCAAAGGGTTAAGGAATAAAGTGTTACATTGGGAGATTAAAAAAATAAGGATAAATGTTGTAGATTCACTTTTTCATCGAGAAGACTGTAATTTCAGGAAACATTAGATTATGAACTATACTCAGCGATAATTCTGTAAATATATTTTATTTCAAGAGATTTCCTTTGGAATTGAAGAGAAGGCAACGGGTGCTCGAACTTTTGAACGACAGTGTACACAGTTTCTGGTACTTCGACAGGATTTATGACGTTTTACGGATGTTTGCATCATATAGGAAATTTCTTTTTGTCCCTGAATATGTATCTCGAGTAACAACTTTCACTTCGCTTTATTCGTGTTTTTATTGGTAACTGTAAAAAAGACGAAAGTTTCTTCTTTTTCTTTTTCTCTCTCTCTCTCTCTCTTTACTTGTTCGTCACGATAGAGAGTTAATGGTGAATTTGGTAGTCCGCAAGTAGATGCAGACACTTCGCCAACATCCGTTGACGGCAAACACGGCCATGGACACGAAACGGGCCATCATCCGATCCAGGAGCTGGAGGAGAGCCCAGGGCAGGCTGTTTCGGATCTCAATAACAGAGGAAGACCGAGGTAACTTATCGTCTTGATACATTTTATTTCCACCACATGTTACCCACCTTCTTTTAACCCCTCGCGGATGAAACGATTCGAAGCTGAACGTTCTGCGAGACCAAAGCGCTGCAGTAATAATCGCTAGAAATTTTCAGCTCACTTGTAAAGTTGCGTATATAGGGTGTCCCAGTTGGTTTCGATCAAACTTTGCCAGTGTGTTCTACGGGTACAAGTGAGGAAAAAATGTTATACAAACATAGGTCGTTCGAAGCGTTGTTAAAAAGTTACAATAAAAGTAAGAAGGGAACGGTAACTGTAAATGAATATTTTGCTTTTTTTATTATGCAATAATAATTATTAGATACACAATTTTCTCCCAGTCTATAGTCTGTGTGAAAGGTAGTGTTCGTGCACATATTGCAGAAGGTGTAAAACTTTCATATTTCGAGCAATTATACTATGTTTAGTTGTCCCTTTAGTAGTCAGAATAGTAAATATGACGCGGTACTAATTACCGCTATAAGTATTACATTTCCTAATTAACTATGCAAGTTCGTGATACACGAATAAACGAGTATCGAAGTATTATAATTTCTCCAAAAATAACTCGATATTAGAACTTCGCCAGCCTTTCTAACGTCAGTTTCAAGAAACTCTACCACCGTATCCGTTCTATATCCCCCTTCTTCGCTCTAAAAATAATTTCGCAACAGCCTCGTAGAAAAGCCACCGGCCCCAAGATTCTTCCAATTACCTTACTCTCGCATACCACGGGAAAATTCATGCTTCCTCCGGTGTTGCGTCGCTTCACTCGACAATTCCTAGTGATCCGTGTTGGCTGACACGTTCTGCTCCTCTAACGACCCTCTTGACGTAAAACTCGTAGCTACTCTCGATGGAAAGAGTCGCTTTGGACAGCAAGAAGGATTAAGGCGCCGGGGGAAACTGGTTCGTTCCACGAGCAGTCCCGTGGACTGTTGCACGCGCAAAAAAACGCGAACTTCTTAGGTACGTCGCTGAAATGCCGCGAGTCGATTACCGTTATTGAATTTCATTAAACGCTAGGGAACTGCGCCAATGGACGAGGGATGCGTTTTCTCTCTTTTTCTCTTCCTGTCTCTCTCTTTCTATGCATAATATTGCCCCTAAGGTGGCACGGCGCGGCTTGTATAAATCGCCGTGGCGAGGTGTGGTTCGGAATGCAGCTAGGTGGAAAACAACGTTAAATGAAAGACCCGTACCGTCGATGTAATTATCGGCGTCGGGCATTCGATTTCCATACGCTTCTATGCGAGCACGATCTCGAATACCTAACGAGAAATTAATTACGAATTAATTACTTTGGTGTCCGAAGGAAAGGAGAATTGAGAAGAATGCGGGAAACTCGAGATGTTGCTGGTTTCTTCTTCGTTTGAGGAATCTTTAAACGGAGATTTTATAGGGAAATGGGAGAAATTGTTCTTTACTTTTTTTTTTTTTATCTATTTGGCTTGTGTTGGGTTATTAAGACGGTGTATTTGTAAGAATTTGCAATAGAACGAAGAGAAAAAGAGTTGTGAGTTGATACTTGGAGGTGTTAGATATACCTGTTGGGAGAAATTGGAAAAAGAAAGGTAAAATTATCTTGGCAGTTCGAAAGGTAAATGATTGCAAGTGTAGAGAGGTATTTAAGAAGTGATCGATTGTGCTGATGAATTATGTCTTTCGTAGAGATAAACTTTCTTTTTGAAAAATCAATATTCAAAATGTTTATAATCAATGCACACAACTCATTCATCAGCGTACTTGACAATCGATATCTCGTGTATCGATCTCTTCTTAAGCAGGTACACTACCCTGAGACGACTAAAAGTAGGTACAAGTTTGGAAATTTTTTTCATAGGTAACTATTAAATGAAAAGTTTGTTTTTTCTCTCAAATTAAAAAAAAGAAAGAACTGTTACTATGGTGGTGTACTCTCCTACACAAGAATGGTCAGATTTGATTCTTCGGTAGACAGGATCATCACCTTTGTCCCTCTATAAATCCATCCAATAAAACGTTCACCAAACCTTCGTAAAACAATCAGATTCCTCTGATCTGTTGCAGTCGGGGCCGCAGGAAGTCACGGTGGAAACTGAAGTTCCATCACCAAGCGCTGCCTCCGGAGTACCTGGACCACTATGAGGCCTCGCTCGCTCAGGAGGCCTTAAACTCATCTCCAACACGCGTGACGGAGCCAACGATACCCAGTCCAGCGCCAACCAGCTCAACCTCCACTCCCAGCCCCATAGCCGACGTCCACGGCTGGTTACAGCGGATCGCAGCGATGCAACAGGAGCTCTGCCCTCAGATCTCGTCGGCGCAATGCCCAACGGTGACCTCGAATCAGCCCTCTGGCTCCAGGAGGTCGGTGATTACGTCCACCTCTTCCCATACGCTGAATACGAGCCACCATAATCATAATCAGCAGCAACAGCAGCAAGCGTCCCAGACGTCCAGCAGGCCGCCGATGAAATACTCGGATCTGCCTTACATGGGCGAGATCACGCTGGACAACAGCAAGCCTCGGCGGGGCAGGAAGCCGAAGAAAGCGGACATCTGCCATTTAATTTACAAAAATTACGGCACGATACTGCCCGGCACGCCTGGCCACGAGGAGAGACGATTGTCACCGAGGGACAAGCTCGATTGTCGCGAGAGAATCTCACCGCAGATGCAGTTTCAAAGGACAGACGTGCAGAATAGGATCAGCAGCCTGTTAGAGAAGAGGTTGACACAGGAGTCGCGGAGAACTTTCGGCCTGATGGAGGGCTCCAGGGAGCAGGACGAGCCTCTGAATCTCTGCATCAGAGATCTGAACCAGCTGAAGATTAGACTCCTGAGGAAGCACGGAAACGTGTACGAATCCGGGCAAGTTAAGAGCGAGACTTCCAGTGACGGGGAAGAGGTGGAATGTATAGGTACTACCTATCCTTCGGAAGCAGGGTTTCGTCCATTGGATCCTCTAGGACGCAACAATAGCAACGTGAACCATAACAATAATATTATAGATCCTATGTTGGGTGCAAATCCCGGTTTCGTCTATTGGCCCAATGCTGGAGTGTTCATTCACCCGATGGCTCTGCAGTCGCAATTGCTCTACTACCAAAAGATGGCACAGAACGATAAGTGCTACCCTAGGAGCTTGGATCAGCCTCCTAAGGAGCAGAAGATCGTCCCTAAGTCGATTTACTCGATGATGGAGACGAAGAGTCCTCCTCTGGCCCCACCTCCGGTTCAACCTGCTCCTCAGACAGTCCCTGTACCACCTCCAGTCTCACCTAGACCCAAGAGGAACGCCCCGGTCGGTCAAGTCCAAGGCCAGCCTACTAAACGAAAACGATCTGCTATATTTATACCACCGATGCCGACAGAGAACAACAACAACCCTGCCACGGAAGTGAGCATATGCAAATTCAAGTTCACCGGAGGAGCGAAGCCCAGTCTACAGGAGAAGAAGAGTCTGTCGGTAGATTCTGGAGGGAACTTTAGGTACTACAGTGGAACAGGTGACAAGAGTATGCGTGGTTACGAATTTTTCCCTAGAGAAGCTCTGCAACAATCAGCTGGACAGTCTGGTTCCTCTACGGGAGCATTTCTGAACGCTGCCGGTGAAAGGATTCAGCCAACTCCCTGTCAGAGGAGCAGCAATCAGGAAGAAGGTCGTCGTAAACGGAAAACCAGGAAATCCCTTCAAAGAGAGAAGCTCGAGCAGACGTTCAAGGAGAAGGGTTTCCTCATCCAGACGCAGCAATTGGAGTCCGCCGAGGGTGCTACGTATTGTAAGTTCCGGCAGCTTAGAAAGTTCACCAGGTATCTGTTCAGAAGCTGGAAAGATTATCTTCCTGGGAACGTGCGCGAGCTGACAGGCGCGGCGGAAGGCGAGATGGTAGACGGAGACATCGAGAGTGATACGAACGTGTTACCCTCGCCGGTCCCTCATCCTAATATGATGGACGTGCCGACCGGGTTTGTCGACGAGCATCGCGCTCTCCCCTTGACGTGAAACGTTCAAATTGCTCCCCGAGGCAATCGGTCGTGTCTAACTTCACGCCATTTTTGCGAGTCCCGCGCCGCGCTATGGCTGCTATGGGGAGGATCCAGGGGAATACGTGGTTATATCGCTGTTATAATGGCGATTGGCATCATGTCCGTTTGATGGGGTTGGAGATGTGGAATTTTTGAAAAATTTTGAAATTTGGAAAATGGTCATGTGGAATTTCTGAAAAGTTTTGGACTTCGGAAGATGATGACGTGGAATTTTTAGAAAATTTCAGAATTTGGAAAATGGTGACGTGGAATTTCTGAAAAATTTCGGAATTTGGAAAGTTTGTAAAGAATTCATGTGGGTTGTTTGAAAGGTTGATTTGATGTTACATCGATAAGTACATAGGTTTGGAATCGATGGGAAATAGTGATGATTGATCTTAACGTTGAATTGGGGGTAGATCTTCGAGAGTGGTTTAATTAGGAAGGTTAATCCCTTGTCTTATATTATCGAGTTGCAATCATAGTTCTAGCACATGAAAATATAAATCATGTGTACTATTTCGTTGCCACAAAAATCGTAAGGCAAGGGATTCGTTTTCGTTTAATGCATGTTGGGTCGTTTTGATTCCTCTGGTGCAATGGAATTTGAAAATATGAAATTTTTAGCAAATGAAGCATCTGCTAGAAATTAAAATTTATTTAGGCGAACCATCTTATACTTTCTTTAAAAATCTTTAAAAACAAAACTGACAAAATTTATTTTACACGAAGAAAAATATATTTCCATTTTCTAAGAGAGAAGGTAGAGACCATAGAACAACTTGAATATTCTACTGAAAAATGCTCAAAAACTATAGAAAAACTCAGTTTATTTTTATAATCACGTCTTCTAACGCGCTTCATCGTTCATCAATCGCAACATCCTCGTCACAACGTCACTATCATCGAATCCCGTGTGCAGGTCAAACTATTAGGCTGGTGCATGTGAAACGACACATTGTTTCTTTAAAAAATGATGCATTTTATCAAAATAATTTAAATTCAAAAATTCTTTGGATGCTCCTTTTACGGTGCCTTCATTCCTGAATAATCTATTTCTTAAAAAAATATCGAAGTGTTTGAAGAAATGGTGATCTGTCGGTGAAAAGTTGACTGAAATTTTCATGCTCTTCACCGTGGATTGTTTTCAATAATTTTTCTTAACGCGCTATCATCCTTGATCCTCCTCTTATCTCATTTCCAACGAAAAGTCACTAATCTCGAATTTTTCACACCAGTGTTAAAGCGTCTCAACCCTTTTTACCGCAGTTTTTCCAAATTTAAACTTACACAAAAAAATTACACGAATATCCTGAACATCCGTCGCAGGTAATAATGTCGAAACAATAGTATTACGAAGTTTCTTACTATTCGATACACGCGTACTACAGAAAATCCCTTCGTTTTGACTGCTGTGCATGAAAATTCACGATCGGACAAAATTTAATACACGATACGAACCGGGCAATTTCAGCTGTTGAAAAAACGTCGTTTCATTTGCATCCACCTAATGCACGAAACCTCAACACGAATACACGTGATCGTTGCTGTAAGCGTCACTTGCATTTATTGCATTCAGCGGTGTCAAACTGCCTTATTATCATATCGTTAGGAGATCTCGTAGATGGGACAGAGTGAAAGTAGCAGGGCAATTTAGAGGGGGAGAAGGGGATTTGTGACGTGGAGAATTCGAACCTGTTCGTAGAGTCGTAAAATTGTCCGGAATATCGAGAAATGGCCGTGTCAATGTGTCGAATGGCGTAAGCAACGAACGTTGGTCAAAAGTCGAACGTGTTTATACGCGCGAGACAATCATGTGACTTTCACCGTGTGCTCACGATTAATAATAGGCGACTGTTAATGTCATAACAGTTAAATATCGGTAGTTTAGAACGCGTGCAGAGTGCGTGGGTCGAATACATCGCGTTCCGTGGGAAAATATGCGGCCGTTTCAATGCTTCGAAAATTTTTCACGGAGTGAACAATAAATTTTCGCTTCTTTTCTGTTTTTTTTTTTTTTTAATAAAATTGATATATACACTATCATTTACGAACGTTTTTTGATAAACCACTTGTTTAGTGTGTTGTAGAACTTTATTTGGAGAGAATAGTATCTTATCGAGGAATGAATTTTAAAGTTTAACCCTTTGAGTACTATGGAAACGTATACTCAGAATAAAACCAAATATTTCATATTTGTTACTTAATTACTTGTAATGTAAACTTATAGTAGCGTTTCACAAAGTTATCCTATCTCATAAATTGTACAATATAGAAACATTATTATGTCCCCATAATAAAAGTATCAACTAAATATATTTCCTACTCAAAGGGTTAAATGTAACATAAAACAGAATAGTAATTTTGAAAAATTTGTTACATTTTCTGACGAAGTAAATAAGAACACAGTTGAATGGTAGTGTATAGTGTTGAAAAATTGAAAAATGTTTATATTTTAAAGCGGTATAATTACGAGGTATACTCACTTGCTGATTTACAAGAACAATTATTTCGTAGCTGGAATTAGAATAACATTTGAATTAATTTCATTATGTAGGACAAGGATTCTATCATCGAGGTATTATTATTAATCGATAGGCGTATCCTGTGTCGTCTGACGCCTATAGTTTTATAAAAAAGGCGGTGGCGAGAAACTTGAAAAAAACTAATGATACAACTAGAAAAAATGTATCGATGTTATTGATCGGTTGTTACGTCGCATAATAGATTCGATCGTTGTGAATTAATTTATCAGTTATTGTGAATTAACGAGGAAATCCTGAGAAGTCTTGTCGGAATTAAACGGAAAAGGAAACATTGTAACTACACAACATATAATTAACGTTAACCCAACCAGAAATGATGGTTCATAATTAGTGGAATTATAATCGGTAAATGATCTATCAATTACTTTCATATTTTTTATAAATACGTAGTACGATTTTAATAAATGCGGTAATAAGAACGCAATAGCATTTAATTGCTGGGTAAAAAATTGCACTACATCTTAGGAAATTTTCTGTAAACATGACAAACGTGTAAATATAAACATGAAGTCTTTAACAGTACATTATCTATAATAAAAAAAAGTCTGATAAAAAAATAGTGCTGCATATGTTACTGGAAAAAAGTTTGTAGTCGCTGCAAATCCCAAGGATCACATAGATTATCAAAGAGAAATGAAGAATTTTAAGATTTCCATTCATTCTGTCCAGATAAGACACATACAAAAGACAGTTCACGTGTTAAAAATTCTATTTTTCTTTGATTCTGACGAAAATTTGACAATAAACGCGATAATTTTAAATAAAAGGGAAGAAATTTCTAGGGAGAGAAAGCGAGTTATAGAGAACAACTGAAAGAGAATTTGCCGAGTATTAATTTAAAATTTAATTCAATATTTGAATTGGTACGAGAAAAATTCGTAGAACCGAGGGAAGATGCAGTACTACGTTCGCTACGTTTTGTTATACGAATTTTTACAAACAGTAGCCAGACGAACAAGTGAGTATACCATTGTCGACATATTCTAATCGTGCAACGATGCGTCAATCGATTGTTCATCAAAGAGAATGTTAAAGTGACGAAACAGAATGGAGAGCCTGTTCTATTGTAAAAATCTGTGTGCAAACCGGAGAGAAGGAGGAAAGATGGCGGCGCGTTTTAATAATAATGTAAATTCGATCGTAGCTCCGTGCCAAAGATGGGAGACTGGAATGTACATAATAGGTGCTGAAAGAAACGTGTTGTTAACCAAAGAGTGTGGTTTCGTGCTCGCTGTTCAAGCGGATTTGAACTCTAATCCGCCCATTGAAGAAGAAAAAAAGAAAAACGAAAAAACAAAGAATAGAAGAAGAAACAACAGGCGTGACACGAGAAAAATTCAGGTTTCGTCGGTTTTCGATTTTACAATGCATTTCGCGAAGCTCGCGCACCTCGAGGAAAAAACACAGAGGACAATGTTTCAGAACGAAAGGGAGTGAGAATTGCATATAGAAAAAAAAGAATGACTGAGTGAGTGAGAGAGAGAGAGAGAGAGAGAGAGAGAGAGACTCGAAAGGAAAAAGAACTAAAATAGAAAAAATGGAATCGTTCCCAGGCAGCACATAGACGTCTTGTTAACGTCTTAAGGACGTCGAGTAAAAGCCTAAAGATGTCCAAAAGACGTCTGAACGACGTCTAGTGTTATAAATCAAGATATGTCTTCGAAACATGGCGCTACGAAGCACTGTGCTCTGGTTTTCAGAAACGTCTTGAGAGTACCTTGAAGACGTAACTTTTACACGTTGTTAGACGTCCAGATCAGGTCGTGTAAGACGTTCGCGGACCGAGAATGGACGTAAAATGGACATTTCTAAGACGTCTTGTGTTATCTGGATTAGAATTATAACGGTTATATCGTGGTTATTTTTTAATAATCGTAAGCTATACGCGAATCTTATAGCGATTTATTTATGTATATGTACATAGTTTACGTTGACGCGCGGCGTTCGATGTAATCCAATGGAACTGAATAAGGAATTATATGTTGGAATGAAGTTGAGGATCGAAACGATGAAGAGTACCGTCATGGCGGCGCCTGGTGAACGTTCGAATGGAAGTGCAGGAACGTTGAAAATGCGTGAATGAGAAACGATCGTACCTGAGACTCGTGGCGCGTTTTCTTTTTCGTTCTCTGAGAAAGAACGTGCTTTTAATAATATCTCGTGCTTTTGTAATGTCTTATTGTTACTCGAGGAAGCCCCTTGACCAACGCGAAATATTTTGGTAGCGGTAGATTCGCGACTGTGCAATATACTACGGCAGTTTTTATGCGTGCATGTTCACACAAACACCGAGAAAAATTTCCGCCGAGACTGCGAAGTTGTGGCGATTTCTTTCGCGCGGCGGCGGATTTGATTTCGCTCCTTGAGGCGTTTTCTCTTCGCTGTCGCTCTAAATTCGCGATCTGCCGAACAGCGACCAACGTAGAAATTGAAAGACACCGAATTCTGTGGATCAGTGTGAAATGTTCGCTGCGGCGGCGAAATATTTCGTATTGTGCGGAGCTGGAGAGATGCTCCGCGCAAGGA